AATATGGGACCATAAGTGCCAAACCATTTTCCCAAATAATATTGTATACCCATATCATGTTATTATTAAGTTCATATCATGTTATTATTAAGTATGTACCTACGTCATCCGTGGAATTAGTGCGTTACCAATACAAACTGGAATATATATTCATTATTCGCAAAATGACACTTAAAACAATATTTTTACCTCGAAATAAGTCGGGGGGGGGGGCTAATTGAAGACCTGGCGGTGCTTAGCACCCCCTGGCACCCACTCATGTGTGCCAAAGCTCGACCTATAAATTGGTAACCGGTGGCTGTCTAACTATCAAAGCATTAAATTTTACTCCGTTAGTCGTCAAGGATCAGCTCGAGTCTATGTATATAGTATATTGTTAAAACATAAGTTATAAGAAAAGGACTTTGCTAAATAAACATATATTTTAAGTTAAAACTATCAAGTAAATAATAAATAACAACAGTACTTTGCGGAAACCTATATACCTATACTCTATAGGTAACTTTAATAATACCTATCACGCAAGTATGTACTTACCCATAAGCATTAAATATTTTTTATTTTCACGAGGTCATTTTTTGTCAATTCCTATAAAATATCAAAAAATAATTAAACACAATTACTTTTTTAGCCTACTTGAAACTGAACTGCAGTGTTACCTTCATTTACAGCAAACAATAATTATTTCGAAAAATATAGTACTTATTAATATTTTTGAAAATAATGTTGTCACTTTATTTGACGTTATTGCAGAACAACATGAAAAAAAATTTTTTTTAATTTGAAAACTCAATTTTAATGTAAAGATTTTACAATTTTATTTAGTCCAATTTCGAACGGGTACCTGGTTATTATTTCAGTTTTAAATTTTTAATAATTGTCTGATCAAAAGTGTCCAACTAATACAAACGAATAGGGTTAAGATGGGTTATCTAGCGCGCTCTATTGGACTTTTTTTGCGGTTTTCGTTGATAACAAACAAATAACAACAATTATTTCCTGATAAAACCGCCGCGTCGTGACGTGAATTTTGAATATGTGGACTTTTTAGTTGATATTTTTTTACAAATCATTCAATTATTTTCAAGTTATAAATCATAAGATTACAACTGGAATGGCATCAATCACTGTCAATAGATTATTTAGCGGAACGATCAAACGGGCGTGCAGCAGGTAAATATTTATACCTTGTACACACACATTATTATTAAATATTAATAATAATAGGATTGTGTATGTGGTTAGAAGCGATTAGTAATCAAGGTTTTGAATTTCTAACGATGAATAGAAGCACGATTTGCCTGTTCGATGTTGACGGAACGGTCACAGATCCTAGACAGGTATGATATCCCCCAATTATCCCTTGTGTTACGTAGATATAGTCGTAGTTTCTTAACGTTTCAAACTTTTTGAAGCCAATTGATCCGTCCGTGAGGTCTTATATGATTGACGAGCTCAAGAAAAAAACACTCATTGGGTTGGTGAGTGGTTCAGATATATCAAAGATAGAAGAACAGCTAGGAGGCCCAGAATGTAAGACTTAATTTCATGTCTGGTTACTGTTCCATTTTTGAAAATTAATTTCACCAAAATAAACTTGTTTTTTATCTGTTCAGACACAGCCCAATTCGACTATGTGTTCGCAGAAAACGGCCTAGTTGCATTCAAGAATGGTGCAGTTTTAAAAAAACAAGTATGTTAATCTATTATTATAAGTCACAACCTTTTGAAGAAATTGATTCATATTTTAAATACTTTTGTACTAGTCTATTTTTTGGTGTATGTATTATAATTTCAATTCATTTAACTACTATAACATGATTAAATATTATAAACAGGAAAAAATGGATTAAACTAAATATTGTGGATAGTAGACGCAAAATAAGTAATAGGGTAATTATTATAACTTTGTTTGTGAATTGTATTATTTGTGATTCCAAGTGATTGGAATGATTGCCATTTATTTAGACACATCATTTTTTACTATGTAGTAGGCATCGAGGCAACTAGTGAAAATTATAAATTACTACCTACACTTTTTGAAAATAATTTATACAAATTTATACAATTTAAGTATTCAATTTCTTATAAACATAAGCAATCAAATACCAAAATACTTATGCACTAGTTCTCTAGTACTTAAATTCAGTATTAAATGTTGTTTTAAAAAATGTGTAGAATAATATTCAATGGTTTTTTTTCTACAGACAATTGTTGATTATTTGGGCGAAGAAAAACTGCAGACATTTATTAACTTTGCATTGGGCTACATGTCAAAAATACAATTGCCAGTGAAACGTGGTAATTTTGTAGAATTTAGAACTGGCATGATCAATATCAGTCCTGTTGGTAGGTCATGCTCAAAAATTGAACGTGACAATTTTGAAGAATATGATAATGTTCATAACATTAGAAAGAAATTTATTGAAAGCATTAAAGAAAACTTACCAGATATTGGGTTGACTTACAGTATTGGTTAGTACTGAATTATATTGATGTAGCATTATTCATATGTTCTATAACACAATTGTTTCTGTTTAGGTGGCCAAATAAGTTTTGACTGTTTTCCTATAGGATGGGATAAACGATTTTGTCTACGCTATGTTGAGGATGAGTTTAAAGACAACATATATTTTTTTGGAGATAAAACATTTGTCGGAGGAAACGATCATGAAATTTTCAATGACCCAAGAGTGATTGGACATACAGTTATTAATCCAGAAGACACCATTTCGCAATTAAACAATCTGTTTAATAAATAATAATAAAATTTAAAGCATTAGAAATAATTTATCTGTACAATTTGGCTCTTATGTAGGAGCAAATAAAAATAAATAAATAAAACAAAAAATTATCACAACTGCAATACAAAACATAAGTCAATAGTAAATTTTATACAAATTTAACAAGTTGATTGTTGAATTCATTCATAAATATAGATAGTTGGGAAAATGTTGGCCTTTCATTAGGGGATAGTGCCCAGCAGCATGCCATCACTGTGAACAGTTCATCGGGACAGTTGACTGGCTGAGTTAATCTGAAACCATCTTGAAGGTAAGCCGACATTTCAAATGGATCAATGTCGGCATATGGTTGCTGGCACAAAGTCAAGAGTTCCCAGAGTAGAACTCCAAAAGACCAAATATCTGAGGCAGTACTAAATTTCTTGTGCTCCAAACTTTCAATAGCCATCCATTTTATTGGTCTGTTCTTATTATCTCCTAGACAGTGATAGTCACTGGGAAATAGATCTCTTGATAGAGCATTATCAGCTATCTGAATTTTCAATTCTTGGTTGACGAGACAATTTCTTGCTGCAACATCTTTGTGTAAATGTCTATTTTTATGTAAATATTGCATGCCGGTTATTATTTGTAGTGTCATGTCGATTATTTCTCTAGTAGTTAAAGTGTATGAAATGCTTTCAGACGTTTTACAGTTTTGTAAAAATTTCTTTAAATTTTTATTATTGTTGTATTCGTATAAAAGGAAAGGTTCTACGTGCTGTTCAACAGACACGGCTTGAATTGTTAATATGTTTTTATGATTAAGTCCATACATACTCAGTCCTTCATGTAATAGCACAGATATTTGTACAGCGCTTGCTTGATCGGTTACAGTCTTGACAAACACGTCTTCATCTTTTCCATTCACATCTGTGTACAGGCCTTTGTAAACTCGTCCAAATGTACCTTCTAGTTCAATGCTCTGTAATCTAACTCGTTGCCTCTGCACACTTAGCTCTACAATGCATTCATGTAAATCTTTTACTTTGGTTTTTGACCCTGGTAGTGATTTTTGGTTGAACTTGTTGCTTGAATTTAGTGCTGATTTTAAAAACATATTTACTTCATTGTTCTGGAAACCTTTAATAATCATGAGATCTCGTGCTTTATCACGGTGGAAAGTGGTGGCCAAACAACAAATTATGGCTAGTGCCACTAATGAGGACGCAGCAGCAATCATATGGTAGAAAAATGATGGTTCGTAGTAAGGTGGTATGGAAGAGTCTTTTTCAGGAACAATTGTTGTTTCGTTGGGATGTTGATCTATGCAAAATTTTTTAAACACAAGGTTGACATCTGTAACATCATTTTGCCAGTTTTCTGAAGTTTGAATTGACAGACTAACGTCAGCATTGCCAGACTTCACTGCACAAGGCAAAGACACGGAGAATACGGATGGCAAGTCAGGCACAGTACCCTCTTGAGCGATATTGAGTTTTGGAACCACAATATCCTCATCAGCCTGTATAGACATTTTGTACAACAGAGTACTCTTGGAGCTCCAAGTTAAGTTCAAAGTGTTGACAAACGATGGTACTTCCAAGGCATATTGCACAGCATTGACGTTGAGTTGGCCGCCGCGCACATAATACAGTCGAGCAGCCAAGCCCATCAACGGTTCCACGTCGTTGGCATCGAAATACAAATCAAATTGTTTGCAATCGACGATGGTCAGCAACAGTGGTAGTATCAATAGATGTTCCATATTATTCGATTCGTTTATTGAGTGGTCACGGAGACCATAAAAGTGTAGTAGACATTAGGAACTATCGTGAACTGTAATTTACATCGTTTGGGCGTTACGAGAACGTCGCGGAGACGTGTGAGTGGTCCCATTGCGGTTTTTCACATTACAAAAATCAATAATAAAACCATATTTAAGAAATAATAATAATAAATAAAAAAATACTAATTAAAATGCAGTTACGAGTGTTACGATTATCGCAAGCGACGGAAGTGCATTCACATTTCAGTGTAAACAAAAACAAATTACTGTCAAACATTTGATAGCATCTGAACAGTCTGCCCACATTTGAAAAAAACTTTTGCTTACCACAGAATAGATTATAATGTTAAGTTGGTACAGCTTCCTAACCATCAAAGTCCCGGCGTCCCCCCGGCAGCGGCTGATCTCTTTTATCAATCCAACGTTATCTATAACGAACTTCGACACGGACTGCACTGAGATTACACGACAACACATCGACATCACACTATCACAGACGTGCACAGACTCCAGAGGGCAGAGATCAGAACGGTTGTGTTCCTGTTTAGTATTCTGTGACACTGGAATTTGAGACTCTGGACTCTGGAGTACTGGATATTCGACAGTCACATTTGTATTTGTATTTTGTGCCAACAGTGCGATCCTCATCTCATTACCATAATCATTTCTTGCACACTTGATGTACAAAAATTAATATAATATTCATTTGAATCTTAAAGAAAACATTGATTTTATATACGTAGAATTTTAAATCAACAAATTGTAAGTAAAAACTATTTCACTATTGTTTACAATCATTTTTACTGCAGTGAAACTCTTTAAAAAAAATAAATTGTTTGTATTACTTCCATAAACTTGTAATTTTTTGGATCTTATTGAGTGTTTTGGAAAAAATACATTATTGATCCCACATCATAATCAGTCAAAAACTAGAAGTCTCTAAATATTGTTAAGTTTTATTTTTTAAAGATTATAATATATATGTTCTACTGCATGTAATGTTGAGTGACGTAATATGGTACAAAAGTAAAAAAACTCTACTTTTGTACATAATAATAACATGATACTTACCTATAAGTTGTTTAAGATTAAATCATTTGAAAAGCAAAAACATTTTTGATACCTATTTATATTTTATTTGTTTAAAAATAAATATCCTAAACTCTCCCAAAGAAACTTAGTGCTACCATGTTGGATGTATTAAGATTTCTTTTTTTTATTATAAACATATTTACAAAAGATTTAGTTATTAATAGGTCAGAGGACTTGTAGCTCTAACAAATCACCAAATATGCACTAAAATGTATAAAATATGCATTTTAAAATTACTATGCATATTATAATTCATTAAAAATAAGATTATGTATTTGAATATATTTTATTTAAATCTTGATGACATGCGTGTGGGAACAGTCAACAACCATATTAATATGATCAAAATTTTAAATAATTTTAAATTCAACATTATTTTGGTTGTATATTAAATATTTAAAACAAATAAAAACTTTATAAATAACGCAATAAATTATTGAAAATATGCATCTTAACGTATAGAATCGAAGAAATATGCACCAAAATCAAAGAAAACTCAAAATATGCATTTATATGCAAAATACAATTTCAAAACTAGCTTTGTTTCAGCATAAAACGTATTTCCTTCTTACTCTGCTATTTTTGTGATTGTGCAAAACAAATATGCAAATGATACAAGTCCTCTGCCCTAGTTATTAAGCATAATAAACCTTATAATTGCAAACAATTTAATAGAAATTATGAAAATAATTAAGTTTTCATTCTTTGACCTATACTATTATTTCAGTAAATTTTATCATTCAATTTGAAAAATTGATTGATATTTAGTATAATATTATACTGTTGATTTAAGTTTATTTTATGTTGTTTGAAAATAATTTTAATTTGTTTATAATTACATTAATTGGATGATGTGATAATCTAGTTTCAGTTACCAAACCATTAGTAATGTATTATATTATACAAATAACAACTTAAATTTGGCTTACAGATGCGATGGAGATACTTAAGTCATGCAATAAGGAAGTATTCAAAAGACGCCAACGGATTTCATGTCGGCATTGTAGGTGCTGGCCCTGCAGGATTTTATTGTGCGCAACAGTTACTAAAAGTAATATAAAACTCCCTTTAATATTTAAATAATTTTTTTAACTCATTATATTTTAGAAAATACCTGGCTGTCAGATTGATATATATGAAAGATTACCAGTTCCATTTGGTCTTGTACGTTATGGAGTAGCTCCTGATCATCCAGAAGTCAAAAATGTTATAAACACATTTACTAAAACTGCATCAAATGAAAATGTTAGATTTATAGGCAATGTCTCACTTGGCCATGATATTTCTTTGGCCCAACTTAAACATTCCTATAATGCCGTAGTATTAGTAAGTTCTGTATTAGTATGATAAGTCATGTGGTAGTTAAATAATAAATTTATATTTTATATATTAATGTGAAATAATGTTTTTTTATTTATTTAGGCTTATGGAGCTGATGAAGACAGAAAATTAAAAATAGCTGGTGAAAATTTATCCAACGTTGTATCAGCAACAAAATTTATAGGATGGTATAATGGTTTGCCAGCAGATAAAAATGTCAAAGTAGATTTGGATGTCAAACATGCTGTTATTGTAGGACAAGGAAATGTTGCTTTGGATGTTGCTAGAATATTATTAACACCTGTTGATGAACTTAGAGTTGGTACAGTTGATGTTTATAATTATAGCCTTTGATGATTGAAATTAAATATTGTTTTTTTTCTTCAGAAAACGGACATCACAGAATATAGTTTAGAGGCTTTGGCACAAAGTAAAGTAAAGAAAGTCACTCTTGTGGGTCGACGAGGTCCTTTACAAGTAGCATTTACAATTAAAGAACTAAGAGAAATGTTGAAATTACCTGGAGTAAGCACACATTTTTTTGAAAATCAGATGAATAATATCGATAAAGTCATTAGCGGTAATTTTTTTAATAAGTTATTTTCAATAAATTAAAAATTACCTATTTTGTATTGATGAATACTATTACAGATTTACCAAGACCTCGTAAGCGGTTAATACAACTCATGTATGATGCATCCTTAAAAACAGAAGTTCAAGATAAATTGTTTGACATATTGTTCTTGCGAACACCTATCTCAATATTAGGTACAACAAAAATAGAAGGAATTGAACTGGCTGTAAACCATTTAGAAGGTACACAAATTGTAATGTAATTTATAAACATAATAATTTTTGACAAACAAAAATATTTTTAGGTGAAAGAGCAGTGGTTACGAATGAAAAGTATGCACTAAAATGTGATTTGGCTTTTCGCAGTATTGGATATCGGAGTGTCCAAGCAGATCCTGATGTACCTTTTGATAAAATATCTTCAACAGTACCTCAAAGTATAGGTATGGTAATTGTTTTGATCAAATAGAACCAGTGTTCGAAACAATCACTTAAAAAATGAATTCTTTCATGTGCATGTTTAGTCTTTAAAAAGAGAACTCATTCACGTTCATGTTCATTGAGAAAAAGGATTGCTTTCACTAGGTCGTTCATTTAATTTTTTTAAATTTCTTGTATTAGGAATTATAATAAGAAAACATTATTATATAATATAATTGATAAATATATCTTAAACATACATTTATTAATCAGCAAATAAATTGAGTCTAAAAAATCGTTGAAATATAAACATTGTTCACATTCAATTCAATAAAAACTAGTGATGTTCGACAATTCTTCACTAAGTATGAACATAAATGTGTGAACTTGAATTCATGAACGACGTTCTTTTTAAAAATTGTTTGTAACTAAACATATTTTACTTTCAAAGGTGTTTACAGTGTTGGTTGGTTGTCATCGGGACCTGTGGGAGTGATATTGTCGACTATGAGTAATGCTTTTCAAGCAGCTTCATTAATCGGTCAACATTTTGATGAAGGCTTGCTTGGTGAGCGAAAGCCAGGGTTTAATTATATTTCAAAAGTATTAGAAGATAAAGGTATCATCATATTAGCTTAATTATTATAGTTTCCAAATAGTCAATAGAAAAAGAAAAAATTTAAAACCAAATATTTTTTTAGGTATAATTACTGTCGATTGGAATGGATGGACAAAAATTGACAAAGTTGAAGTAGAAAGAGGAATAAAATGTGGTAAACCTAGAGAAAAAATTGTCGATGTTGATGAAATGTTACAAATTGGAGGGATACTAAAATAATATTTTGTAATCATAATCAAAATCTAATTTATTGGAGAAAAGTTTAGATAATAAAATATTATAAATGCTTCAAAATAAAAATATGAAATGTTGAATCAGTGATAAGTATAATAAATTTAGGTAAAATTAATTACTTTTTAGTTGTCAATTGTTTTTTACTAATTTTACCATTTGTATTTGATTTTAAATGTTAATACAGAAATTTATTTTTAAAATGTTTTAATTCATTGCTTATTTAAAAAGCATAGTGTATTTCGAAATTTTCCCAAAAACTTTTAATTGTGTTATAAAATGTTTATTATCTTACAACATCATTGATTATTATAACAAGTGTATGGATTTCGAAGCAATAAAAAACTAATGAAAAGCACTTAAAATAAAGCAATAAACCTCTACAAAAGTTTATTTTATTGATACTTTAAGTTAAAATTTGGACGAAATTGGATAATTAAGTAAAGAATAACAATTTTAGTTATTTTGTTGTAAATTATTTTAAAATATTGTTGATACTGTAACCAAAAAATCTAAAAAAATATAGACTAAAATATATTATTATGTAAAATAGCAGCTGTTCCTAGCTAATCATACATACATTGTTTTTATTATCTTGAAATATGCAGTTTAAATTCTTTGTAAATAAAATTCTGAATCCATAGCTGGGCCCTTACAGTACCTTACGTTAGGCTCCCCCATCTAAAAAATCAACTATGGCGTCATAATATGTCATAGATAAATTAGGTGATAGCATCTATCTGCATCAAACTATTGACCTCTTTAATATTTTCACTTTTTATTTACCTTATAGTTTTAAATAGTGATGTATTAAATTTAATATTCTAATTAAATTTGTTCAGTGTGTTACCAATTACCACCATACAAAATAATTAAATTCAATATCGTTATTTTTGTAAATGGATAGGTGGGTAAATATCTACAGTGGAGTGGTGAATGTAATTTTTAAGTTAGTTTTAGCCCCTCTAAATAAATTTAAAATGATGCCATTTAGGTTCCTATATTGCAATACTTATTTAGAAGCCCCACGTCTCCACAAAAATGTAGGATGTTATTTGTGCTTAGATATAAATTTATGTAAATTGTAAGATGATAATAATTATTGTTTTGGGATAAAATTGTATAAATGGAAATTAGTTTGCAAGTTTTGCCAAATGACATAGGTACCTATTAATAAAAATCTATACCTAGAAATTAGAATAAAGAGTTTCAAAATGTGTGTATGGCTTATTTTAAAGAAAAGGAATTAAGACCAGTGACTAAGGTAATGATCAATGTTTTATAAAAAATTAAATGATTTGTATTTATTGGATATTGTATAATAATTATTTTATAAAAATATCGAATATTTTTATTTTTATTTTTTTTATTTAGAAATCAAAATATATGGTTACAAATTTAAACAAGTTTAACAAATAGGTACAGTTTTGATTACCTACCTCCTGTAAGCTAATAGCTTGTGTTGGAGGTGGGGAGTTACTACATTTACCGACAAAATAAAACAATTAATAAATTAATTAGGTAATTTCTTATAATATTACGTACATTATTGATTCATGATACTATCACTTGCAAAAAATATAATAAGGTAAAGAAAAGACAAAGTGATACAAAGTTTAAAAATAGATTAATAATACATTTAGTTGATACAGCATTTTAACAATCAAAATAATATACTGTTATGTATATAAATAACATATAATTTAGCAATAATTTACAATAGAGAATAAAACTAATACACATTATTATTCAATTCTAAAAACATATATTTATAGGTATAATAATCCTTTTTTATTAATTTTTTTACATGAAATAATATTTTTTTTAAAGTCCAGAGGCATAGAATTGTAGTAAGTTGGGCCAAGGTAATCTATAAATGTTTGACCAAAAGATTTATTGGTATATTTAACTGGGAAATCATATTTTCTAATTTATCTTATGTGACTATTGTCATTATGTAACTGCTCAATATCAAGTTGTTTAATAATGAACATAATTGCTATTTTGTTTATATAATTGTTTTACTGGCAAGACCCCTAATTCCTTATAATTATCAATTGTTGATCCTTGTAATGACAGCTTATTTAGGCAAATTCTAACAATGTTATTCTGATTTATAATCAGGTGATTTAAAATATTGTTTCGAAGGCCACCCCATACCAATAAGGCAATAAACCGTATTGAAAATTGGATTGGTATAGAGCAAAGTAAACTAATCTCATTGTTTTCTTTGGGACTATTTTTTTTAGTTTGAACATATTATAAGTTATAAAGCGTAGTTTCCCTAATAGATTGTTAACATGTAGGTTCAATTTCAAGTAATTATCAATAATTAATCCTAGATATCTTATTTTTGTAACCTTATTAATTTGCTTGCAGTTACTTGAGTTACAGTTTTTGTTATTAGAACATTCATGTAATGAAATGGAGCTAATAGTAGAATCGAATTTATTAATAGAGAACGGTATAAACACTGTTTTTTCTATGTTTAAGGATAGATTTCTTTCTTTCAATATTTTTAATACTTTACGAAAGCCAGTTACCGATTTTTCATAAACACCTTCCCATGTATTATGTGAGAAGAGCAGACAGGTATCATCTGCATATGTTACTATTGAACCCTCAAAGTTAATATCACAAATTTCATTAATATATAAAATGAATAAAATAGGGCCCAATACACTACCCTGAGGTACTCCATATTTAATTTCATACATGTTACCATTGACTCCATTAATTTTAACTGTTTGTTTTCTATTAGTTAAATAGCTTTTAAACCAGGTTAGACTACACTTATTTATTCCAAATAGAATATCGTGATCAACCGTAACAAATGCCTTGGCTATATCTATAAAAATGTTAATTAGTAATAGCTATCGCAGAGGACTTGTAGCTCTAAAAAATCACTAAATATGCACTAAAATGTATAAAATATGCATTTTAAAATTATTATGCATGTTATAAAGCATTAAAAAATAAGATTATTTGTATGAGTATATTTTATTTAAATTTTGATGTCTGTGACCGACGTCCCCGTGGCTCGTATTGATAATATCATATGCAGTGAACAATACCTGTAGGTACGTAAATAAAATTAATAACCGGAGAAGTGTCTCTAGGAAAAACATGCATGTGGGAACAGTCAACAACCATATTAATATGATCAAAATTTAAAATAATTTTAAATTCAACATTATTTTGGTTGTATATTAAATATTTAAATCAAATAAAAACTTTAAAAATATTGAAAATATGCATATCTTAACGTATGGAATCGAAGAAATATGCACAAAAACTAAAAAAAAACTCGAAATATGCATTTATATGCAAAATAAAATTTCAAAACTAGGTTAATTGTTTCAGCATGCAACGCATTTGTTTCTTACTCTGCTTTTTTGTGATCGTGCAAAACATATATTCAAATGCTAAGTATTAAAAGTACTCTGCCCTAGCCTTATAACTAAGGCTATGCGATTTTATAGCAAAGGTTTTTTGGCGGGGACTGTGATGGAAAGTTACCTAAGTACAACATTTAATTTTGTATCAGTCTGTGATTGAGTAATAAGAAGTAGGTGCCTAAGTCTTTTTTTGCATTTTACCCTAAACATACGCTAACCTAACCTACGAAAATGTCAAATATTTCTTCAATCGCATCAAATTTGTATTCTCCAGGTAACCGTCACTATATTATCGTCAGTAATATAGTCAAAATGTTCGAGTATCATCAAATTAAATTACAATGGGTAGTTTATATAAAAATGTACAAGACTTGGCGGCTTAAGTGGAGCCTCGTCCAATAACTTTACCCCAACGGTAATAATAATAACTATTAATTATTAATTGTAGGAACTTAATAACTTATAAAATAATAGGTACCTAATATGATTCTTACATAAATCGCATTAGTTTTAAACGTTTTATATTTTTCTGACTACCGATAATAAACACATAGCTCAGTTTTTTATGGAATGGAGAATTTTAATTTATAATAATTCTTGTTGTAAACTTTAATATTAATAAATAAATTTAATGAACAAGATTCTTATCTTTCACATTTTTAATTCAGACTTCAGAAAATTAAAACTTTACTTTTTCATTAGTTTAATTTAATGTTATTAAATATATGTAGTTAACTTATTATTAATTACTTTATATTGGTATCGAGAATCTTTACAAAAAAATTATTCACATTAAGAATTTAATAAATATTTACGTTTGGTATGGCTTAGGCAGAATAAAAAAAACTAATACAACTGGGTAAGGACTATAATTTTGAATCAGTTATATTAAATCTTAATGACTTAATTAAATTAAATTTATGTTTTGTTATTATCATCATAACAATAATAGTATGACCAACTGAATAAAAATTTCTATGTCATTGTAAAAAATAGCCTAATCAATAAAAATGTATAATATTATTTTACTGCGTAAAAATGAAATTTTTGTCTCTGGCTATTCAGGGTGTTTATTTTAACAGTAAACAGTATTGTTTCATTATATCTATAAAAGTGTTATGGTATTTGAAAATATTTTTTTCACATTTATTATTACAAATTAAAATTGTTAAAAAAATTGTACCATTCATAATAGTTATATTAGTTTTGCTATATTTTGTCGTTAGCATATTTTATAATTTTTTACCATTTTTAATGGCCTACATATTATTATATTCCGAGTGGATTATTTTTCTTCGATTTTTTATGTGGCTATAGGCATCGTGCAAGTTGTAATGCAGCGCGCCCCGTGGACTATTCTATAAGTTTTGGAGGGTAATACTATTATCATTTATCATAGCAATCACTATGGTACAATGGTTGTAGTAGCGTACTAGCGTAGTAAAATTAAATTAAATTAAAATAAAATTTAAAATTTATATCAAAACTATAATTCTAAACATTAATTAGGTAGTACTAGGTGTTTATTATTTCAACCTATTTTTGCATTCAACCTTCTGTCGAGGTAATGTCGAAAATCAGAGGTAAAAGTCACCAGATGTGCTGTGTAGTTAATTGCACAAATACTCAGAGTAAAACGGAATCAATTAAATTATTTCGATTTCCGTCTAAGCCTCATGACATTGAACAAAGAAGAAAATGGATACATGCTATCAAACGAAAAAAGTAAGTAACTAGAAAGAAAGTAAGTTCACAGTAACTTCGATTGTTCTATTACATTTGAATGTCAACAATCAGAATAATCTTTGTTATATAGGCAGTAGGTTTACCAAAAATATTGTGAAATAGCCATAATTGTTTGTGTAAACAGTTTAGTAATGCTTCAACTGAATTTATTTAATAGATATTAGGTAGATAATATGATTTATTTTAATAACAAGTTGATATTCTAATTTTTTCAGTGCTGATAATAAACAATGGGAGCCTACTCCCTATTCCAGAATATGTAGTGCTCATTTTATTGGTGGTCAATATTCCAAACATCCTCAGAGTCCAGCATACAGTCCTACATTATTTCCTGTTATTTACAAACAAAGCAATTTATCAAAAAAGAGTGTTGACCGTTTTGATCGTCATATAAAGAGATCTATCCACAACTGCAGTACATCTGCAGTATCAACCATAGATACAAATATTTTACATGAATCAGACGATTTCACAGAATCACAAAGTAATAGTAATAGTTTATGTAAAAATGTAGCTATTCAATGTTCATCAGTTATTGTGAGTGATACTTTTGAATTTAGTTGTGAATTTTTTAACAACAGTGTTAGTACCCAAGCAAATATTGTAAATGTTGAAACTTTATACTTTAAACCTGTAATGGTAGATGCTAGTGTAGGTTGTGTAGATTCAGCTTTAGAATATTTTTGTGGTTACCAGTCAGTTGAAATGTTTACACTTTTCTCCTAGACCAGCAGGGCATTGACAAGATGCACTTACAACATTTCTGTTAGTAGCATTTACCTATTACGAGAATAGTTTTAAAATATAACATGTTGTCATTGTATTGCAATATTGCTATAATATTATTTATAAGTATTATAATAGTTAACTTACCTCTAATTTAACCAGATATGGATCTAGTGTAACAGACGTTTGTCTTATGACATAACTACTAATTAAGCAAATGTTTTCTGAAGTGATTTCTTTAACATTGAAAACGTGATTACTTTCAACCAATTTTTTCCCTTTGAATTTGACGTTTTCCGAAAATTCACCAATATTAATATTTTTAAATCCCGAATAAATTATTATATCACCGTTCATAATTAAAAGTTATTATATTTCGATATTTTATTAAAAATAATTGCATCCAAATACAAAAAATAGTAATAAAAATAGCATTGTAGGTACTAAACAACAACAAATAATAGCCCTCCAAAACTTATATTTTTGTCTACTATGCGCGCTAGTGTCGATTGACTATTATCTGCACGATGCCTATACAAATTGAATTTCCAACGAATGGTTAATTAGTTACCAACTACATAGTATTTAAATTTTTGATTAGAGGACTGATCAAACATTTTTGGGGGGACCTTTACCCCTAGTACATTCATTTTAACATTTAACAAGTACAATTAGGTGTACAGTATAAGACATTAAGTAGTTAAATACTCCCGAATCTGTACGGCTGTGCTTTTATAAGAATCAAACAACATAACATGCAATGAAATAATTATTATTATCTTATAACCTAAAATCAATAATTTAAGAATTAAAAACAGACTGACAAGACTTTGTAATGCTCTTCTGGATAAAGTCCTTTTCGGCGGTCAATCCTCCTTAGTCCTTCTCCTCCTCTCAATAACAAATACCTAAAGGCTAAAGTTCGAAGACTCAAGAAACAAACACCACATAGGTACCACATCTATACTGAGGGAAGCCATTATACAACCCGACATCCAATTAATTACAAACATCATCAACTCCTTAAAAGAAATCGAGTTGCATATACAAATATACAATTTAATTTAAGCATAAACTATAACGTAAACTGTACATTATTATGTTATACAATTGTAAATCAAAACTAATAGGAGCCGGCGTAATGAAAATGAATTGAAAAAAAAAGTTAAATACTCGTTGTAAATTCGACTGTTATTTATGAAAATAGCAGTCGAAAATGAATATCATGTTTCGGGACTTGAAATCGAAAATGCGCATGCCTAACCGAATTCGAGAGCAAAAATATTTTAAAGACAACGGTAGGTATGATAGAAAATACATTTGATTTTTTTGCAAGAATAAAATTGTACAACGACTGAGTTGGGTTAAAAACTATTTTCAAAAACGTTAATACTTTCCGAGACGGGTAATCAGTATTTACTGTTAAAAGAATCGCCCATACCTATACTATCTCTGTATTATACGCGAAACGATGGTAAATTTATAAAACACCTACCTACCTATATATATTGTTATGTGTATCGTGTACACGTAGACAGGCAATTCGGTTCATAAAACCGATGGGATCGATATTCTTTTTTATTTTATAATAATTAGACTATATATACGCCTATACCCCACCTATATATTATATATTATATATTGTCGCTTTGTTCTTCCTACCGCCCCGGCAGTGTGATGCGATTTACATTTGTTTTACATACCATTTTCATAACTGATGCGGTGGTGTACATTTTTTTCTTTTTTTTTAATACACGTTTCTGTTTTACGGTTCGCATCTGAATGTCAGTCACAGACAACGCAGCACAGTGCTATAATATTATAGCCCAAAGGTTTTTTTTTATGGATTCGAAGATACCTCTCCGCCGAGAATCTGTGTCAAGACTGACCGATAATCTCGATAGGCACCTATTTAACCTATATTGTGTGTAATAATTCATTAAAGTATTTAATAACACGACCAATACACAAAGATAGTAAATAATAATATTATATAGAATATCGATGTCGTCGGTTACGGCTGTATGATGTCAGAACTTTCATGGTTGTTCAAATCGCGAAAAAATAAAAAAAAACGTACACACATCAATGGTTGTAACCACGGTTGTCTAACTTTGGTCATAATGGTACATACCGATATTATAATCAACATATTTGCCTTCCTATATTATTGTGTGATTATCGTTATGAACTTTTGAGTCAGTGCCGACTGGCCGTGGAACGCAGTGAATGGGTTTGTGGTACCCATTAATAAACATCAATCTAAAGTTCTGAGGACAATATCGAATGCTCCACGGTCTATTCGTAATGTCACAGTTCACAAAGGCTTCCAGCTAGCCACAATAATTGAGTTGGTACGTACACGAAAAATAGTAATCAACGTTTTAACCCCATAAATTCTGTTATAGCAGTACACAATTCTATGATTCACCTTGTGCGCAATCCTTCTTATAAGCGTAGTGGGCTTCTTTTAATATGAATTATAATATTATTGTCTTCTAATAATTGTAAATATATTAAACCGTATTTGTATTATAAATGTATATTATATTGTTTATTATTATTATATTCTTAACTACGGTGAACTATTGTAAAGGTTATTATCTTTTATCGACTTATATTATTATTTATTAATATCTATTTTTCCAAATGCAAAAAAGATACGCACCAACAATTATAAGTGTAGATGGAAATGGCAGGAAAATTAAAAACAATAGAAAAAAAAAATAATAAATAATAAATATAAAAATCAAATACCTATGTCAAATACCTGTAAATCAAAATATTTTGAAAATTGTACTATGTAGAAAACGCTGCTATACATATTTGGCGAACATCAAAAGTACCTATCTACAATTATTCGTTGTCCAATTATAAGAAACTACGAAAACTTATTGGGCTTTAATATTTTTAGGTTTTAGAGAATATTTTGAGAATTTTCAATTTTGACTCCCAAAATGTACCAACTATCGATTCTCACTTTAATACCAAGAAAGATATTGAAGTTGAAAATCATAACATTTTTTCTATTTCAAATTTACCAGAAAAAAATACACACAATTGTAAAATCAATACATTCAGCGCACCGCTCAGAATCTAAAATTACATCATTGTTATTGCTACTCACATTGACCACAGACCATAGGTACCCTAGGGGGTATTTACTATTTATACAATTATACATAAACCCATAAAATATAATTAAAATAGGTAATGTTTTTGTTAAACTGTATACTTTGGTAACACTATGTCATAAGTATAACGTATATCATATAACGTCATAGTATAACAGTATACAACAATATAAAATAACAATAATGTTTCTATACTAAAAAGAAGAAAAAACTAACTAAATTAAGTAATGTCTTATTTTCTTTGATTTTATGTAGATCATAGCCATTTTCGTCATCTGAAGACAAATAAATGTTCTCCTCAATGATGACGTTGACGTGCTTAGGTTATCGTCATTCGATTTCGTTTTTGCAACCATTGAATGAAATATTTTCTAGTTTAATACGATCAGGTGTTTAAATAATATTATTTGGTATCTGTATTCTGTAGAAAAACATAAATTAAATATTTTACTTAATTTTGTAGAAAATAATGTACGGTTGGACAAATGAGAACACATCATTAAAATAATAATAGTTAAACTTTTTCTTATAGGTACCTATTTAAAAATATTCAAAATAAAACTTTGAAGAAAAAAGAATTGAATACTCGCTGAACATGATTTTTTTGCAGTTGATACTGTTCACTTTAAATATTTTCTTACACACTCTACTACTACTACTACTATTACTACTACTACTACTACTGCTGCTATAAAGAAAGAACAACACAAGTATACGCGGCCGTTAATGGTTACCACGTTATGGTAGGTATCTACCGTATAATATATAATATAAAGGGTGCATATGTTTGATGGGCTTCTGCACATATTCGGATCGTACATAAATTATTAGATGAATTGGCACGAATAAAAAAAATATAAAATAAAAAAGTTTTCTCCAACGTTACACATTATTATTAGTATGTCTGGGTCTATATATTCGTGTGCCGCTGCACAGGTCACAGCGGTACAGAATATTAAATAAGAGCGCCGAAGAATGAAAAAGTTTAATTTTATTTTTACAGTCGTAGGTCGGTTTACCGAGAATAACGATTCGATGTTAGTGTAACGAATTAAATTTTTTTTAGAAATATCGTCACTTATGAGCTATACATATTACACAGCTGGTTGGGCCAGCGACGTTAGTGTAGCTTAAACTGGTCGAAATCACTGGTCAAGTCTATGCAAAGAACTACGCAAGTGCCCATTTGGTGATAACTTCGATGCCTGTGGCAGTGCATAATTTACGGAAACCGCACAGAACAGATAAAATAATAATGTGCGAATACTACGAAGACCGACAGTTTGCAACGAATCGCAGTTTGCACTTATGAAATATATTATGCATTTGCGGAGAGGTGATGACTTGACACGATGGGCTCGGTTTTTTGTTCGTCATCATATATCAATACAATAATAATAATAATAATAATAATAATAATGATGATGGTATAATAATATTGTACCTGCCTATTATTGTTTGAAGAGACCATAGGGCAGGTATATGGACTACGGGCAGAAGCCACGAGTGCATCACATTATAATATTGTGACAATACTACGGCGACGACGAAAATGGACAATCGTGTTCATCAACGGCGTGGGCACAAATACAGGCAGTACCTAATTATCCGCCAAACAAACCACAAGAATAAAAAAATATTATACATAGTACTGCAGGTATTTAATATACTAATTATACATTTATTTGTACAGTGTAATATTCTTTGATTTGATTGCATTCGCCGAGGAAAAGTTGACTTTCAAAAGACTTTATTCACAACTGCACTGCGTTATGTTGTCAACGCAAATAACCAGTGAACATATTATTATATAAAACGAGCCATTTGTTACAAAGTGCCTGTGTCGGGAAGTGAGTTGTAAACCTTCGACATTTTATAAGTGTTATTTATAAATAATTAAGATTTTTTCACTGTTTTTTTCATTAAATGCAAGATTTAACAGCACGAAATACAAATATTTTCGAGTGCC